AAGTGGAGCTGCTAAATTTGTAACAAGGTTAATTATGTACAGCATCTCTGAAGCCTGGGATGATTCTTATAGGAAGAGTTTAACTGAAAAGATTATGTTTATGTAGGGTGTGGGCAAATGAGGCAACCAGTAAGGTAGAAAAGAAAATCAGGGTCAACCCCTGCTGGCTTTATTCCGGTGAGAAGCTCCATTGAATAAAGCAAGCAGGATTTGATGGCAATTCTTTTAGAAAGTTTCAGTGTTGGGGCTCAGGATTCTAAGGGACTTTCTGGAAGTGAAGCTACTTAAGATCATTTCATGAAGCGGCAAAAAATAGAGATGAGATCTCCCGTGGGTTAATATCACAGTTCTGCTTATATCTTTTGCATAGAGCCTTTGCGAATGGAAGAAATAAGCTTCCCATTGCTCTTGGTTATTTTTAATCCCCTGTTTTGCCTACTTGTGTGTGATTTGACACAGTTCATAAACATTTACTTTGAAGAGTTGCGCTAGCTTTGTATTTTTTTAAAAAAAGTTGGCATCATCTCATGACGTATCTAGTCGTTATAACATAGGACCCCACATTACCCATGATCGTGGGCTGATAGGCATTAGGAATGAAGAAAACAGGTATTAAAGGGGATGCTGTGGTGCTAGAGGGCATGCTGCTACTGTCCTTCATATGTCCTTTATCAAATATAAAGGCTATATTGCAACAGCAAAGTCCTTGAGTCTTAAACGACTATTTGGTTTGACATCAAAGTCTTTTCTTTTTGTTATATGTAAACACAGTTTCATGGGGCGGGGGGGCAGGTGGTCATGCTTGTTGCTATGACAGAAGTTTCCTAATTTCCTTTCTTCAGTAAATCTTTTAACAAGGGATCAGAGGAACTTTTGCCTGCTTTGTTTATTCTGTGTATGTCTGGGTTTTCTCCTCCCTCCCTCAGTTTTTTGTAATTCGCAAGTAGTTAGTAATTGTTTTACTAGACACAGAAAGGGTTAACACTTCCTCCAGTCGAAAAGTATATATTTAATATGCGAGCATATTTGATGTTCATTGACAAAGCAACAATAGGAATGATCTTGCTTTATGTACCAGTTACAAGTTTAATATCATTATATTGCATGCAATATTAGTTTTTATTAGTCGCCATTAACAAGATGCTTTCTACTTGAATTCTCATTTACTTGTTCAATGCAAAAATTATCTTCGTAAAAGAGAAAAACACATCTTCAAGTGTCAGCTATATTAAATTAAAGAACTGTTTACCCTTCCTAAAGAAAGCATATGTATCTAAATAGGCATCTTTTACCGTTTGCATAGTAGATTGGAAATTAGCATTTTTGTTCATTTCCCTATGTATGCACAGCGCCTGGAAGAGTAATACTCCATGCATATCAGATCAGCCAGCCTACAATTTTTATGCAATATATTATTTGGCAATCTAAAATTTGTAATTTGCATGAAATTGCTTAATTAAAATACAGTCACTCAGGGTATTAATTTCTCTGTCTGGCAGTTCAATGTACTAAAGGCGGGCTACATAAAATGTGAAATCCTGTCAGATGTAACAGTAAAATATTAAACAAAAAAAAAAAAAATCCACTTCTAGCAACAAAGTAGCAGAGCGATAATGCTTTTGCCCTGATTCCGGGTTCAAATATGAGTTTGGGTTCACATTGAAAACGACGAGGAAATTTACAATAGCAACTCTGGCTTTTTGCCAATAAATCTGCTTCGCGGACTTTTCTTGGCTGGCGAACCTCCCTCCACGCCCCCCCCCATTTATTTATTTATTTCCCCCTACTAGCAAAGAAGAAGAAAAAGGGAGGGGGGAAATCTCCCCTTTCTCAAACCCAAATCCCTATTTTCGGCAGCTTGCTTTTCAGTATTTGAAATCAGCAACCCTACTGATAAAATGATCCAATCAGTCCTTCCCAGTTGTCAAGACAACAGTACATAATTGTACCAGCTCTTTTCATTGCAGCTAGACATTTCATAAATAGATAATTCTCTAATTGATCCAGCCAATCCTACTTTGCATACCGTGCCAAAATAGGTAAGCCCAGTTTCTATTCTAGTAGAACAGCAACTTTCTGCAAAGATATGCAAATGAGATTTATTTACTGCTGGCAAGAGGGGGGGAAAGGCTGCTTTATTTCTTATTGAAACAAACCTAGAATTGAAAAATAGGGGCTGCTTTTATCTCTCAAAAATCACACGTGTAATGTGGCATGTTGTAAGTATATGGTAAGGCATATCATTATTTAATTCCTGACAGACATATCCGAGTGTGAGACAGAGACATATATGGAATGAGCTGGTTGCAAAACTCGTGCATGCACTGAAGTTGCAGTCGGTGTCATGCCAAAGTGGCATGAGAGAGCTTAGTTTAAACAGGCTGTGCAGGAGGGTATCTGGGGCATTGGCCATCTTCGGGGAGAGAGACAGAAAGAGGGATCACATAATCGGGGATTTCTGAGGCTTTACGTTTGCAAATTGCTTTCTTGTGTTTCTTAAATGAATTAAACATACAAGTTACTGATCTCCAACACTTAGGGAAATCCTGTCTCCAAGAGGGAAAAGGGGGAAATGGTCGCAGGCGTTGGCACGC